GTAATTAACTTTCATTCGAATGATTGGAGAAACATTGGTTTAAAATTAAGTTCTATACCTTTAAACAATTTATAGGAGAGAGAGATAGCTGCTTGCAGAGTGGGCTATTAAATTTGTCTTGAATAACTCTAAAAACTTTAGAACATCACCATTAATCAAAAGCTTAAAGATTCATAATAAATTAAACAAGTGAAATGAACAATTATTTATCTAAATTTACTAATAGATTTAACTATCAAACTATTAGTAGATTAAACTAAATTAATGCATAACTGAAAAAGTAAATGGGTTTGAAGCTAGAGTAAAGTAAATAAACTTAAAACTAGAGTAAAACTAAGTAATCATTATGTTTAGACAAAAAAGATTGAAATTGACATAAACATGAATAAGAAGTTTGAAACCCATATAATATAAGTTGGTATTTGAGGAAACTATATTTACATCAAAATCACTAAATAAACAAATAAATTACTATCAAAATTAGAATTAACCTAAATCTAATTGAAAGTTATGCTTATGAGCTGTGTAAATAGTAACTATGAAACTAAAAAGTTGAATTTGTTGAATTGTATGTAAAGTTAGCCATATCTTGCTTCATCTCAACGTTTCTCTTTTGTCTTGTCTTGAGGCAGATGGCAATTATCCACTACCATTTGTGCATGACATGGATAATCTTTCCAGGGTAATTAGACAACTTAACAGTAAACTTAATCAAAATCTTTTCCAGAACCCACCACCTGTCTATTATTTCACTCATTTGCTGAACTTGGCATGTAATTTCTCCTAAAACTTAATTATGATTTCCACTAATATTAAATAACATTAAATAAATAAGAGAACCGTAAAACACATCAAATTTAATTAGACATGTGGCAGTCATCAACAAGATGCGTCATGCTTCATACCTGAGATCAGACGTGCCGGAGCGCCCCTCCTCCATTTTGCGAATACCTATTAATGGCTGCTAGAAGGTGCTGACGTGGCAAACGAAGATAACATACAAGGGCGAAGCGAATGCCGGAGCTGAAAAAGCGAAGGGTGTCCGATTGAAGATACCGACGTCGGATTCCTGCCTGAAAAAATGGTGGTGGAAGGTGATAAAGGCAAAGGAATCGCAACGAGCACAAGCCCTAACAACAGTGCGGAAGACGAAGACAAGACTCCCAGTCCCCGTTTGCCTACTGTGAAATTCACTTCTCGAAACGCTGCATCCAAATACGACTTCGTCAAGGTTCTCGTCCTCTTCATTTAATCGTTTTGCTCTCTCCTGTTTGGTTCTCGGGAAAATCGAAGAAAAGAAATTGTACTATAATTGTGTGTTTGTTTTGTTTTCGTTTGATTTTGTAGGTAAAGGTATGGCTGGGAGATAATGCGGATCACTACTACGTCTTCTCCAGATTTTTGCTTAGTAGGATGTTAACAGTCACAAAGGTCTGATTTCAATCATTTGTCTCTCATTAACAATTGATCTATAGCTACGATCCCATATTAAGGCATGAAATTGAAATCCTCAGATTTTATGTAGGCAAAGAAATGGCAGTCTTTTGATGGTCATGTCGAAATAGAGTAAAAAAAATTATATTTCTAGCTCTGCTAAGATGGCTTGCTTGTAAACTTTCCCTTGTAATGTTTAATTTTACCTTTAGTTATTGTTTTCGTGTTTAATTTCATGTCTATTAGTCATTCTTTGAATTGGAGCCTGATAAAATGATTAGTGATCATGAGTTGGAAGCATTTATGCCGTAACTTGATGATGGTTTCAGATCCCGAACCATGTAGCTATCAAAATTGCACTTGAACTCAAGAAGCTGCTTGTGGATAACAGCCTTCTGGATGTGTATGCTGTCTTCCTCATTCCTTTTGTTTTTCCTTCACTATCTTTGCAGTGTTTTGAGTAATGATGGTCATTTGCTCAAAATTGTTCACAGCTCTCAGTCTGATTTGGAAGCTAATCTTTTTAAGGTATGTTTTTGAATTTCAACGGGACAAAAAACATGGTAGAAGAATGTTTTCAAACTTTAGATATGAGTAGTGGTTTCTTGGAATCTTCTAATATTGCAGCTTATGGAACGTCGGGGCTATGGGGAGGAGTATATAAACCGTTACAAGATGATGACCAGGTAGGTGAAGTTCCTTAGGGGATGCCTGTCAATTTTGTGCTAGATTATGGCTAGCTATTTGCTTGTTGGCCTTATTTTCCAATAAGTAGTTGTAGCTATGTTAATAGCCCTTCATTATGCTACCTCCTTTTAGATTTCACCATCAAAGAGTTCCTTTGGTAATCCTTGTTTGTGGAACTGCCTGTGTTGGGAAGTCAACCATTGCTACACAGCTTGCACAAAGGCTAAATTTGCCGAATGTCTTGCAGGTTTGGCACTCTATATGTCTATTGAAATATTCTTTTTCCATAGTTAAATAAAGTATTGTCATTTTCTCATTTCTTGAACATTTATTCACATGTGCTGCCTACTTAAGGACTGGTAAGTTTGCATGGTTCACTTATTTTTCCAATGTGGACAGACATTACTTGTAGATTCATTGGACTAAGATGGTTCCACCAAATTCCTGATATGGGACAACCCTACCAACATTGCTTCTAATCTTCAAGTTTCTCTAGTTCAGAATTGCTTTTCTGATTTTCTTTTATGCCTTTGGCATTTATGTTTTTAATGTTACAGACAGATATGGTTTATGAATTGCTGCGCACATCAACAGAGTATGTCCAGAATCTTTTTAATTTCTTCTTGTATTATATCATACTGCTTAACGATGTATCCATGTATCAGATCACATCATAGCTCCAAATTATAAAAGGCTAGTTGATAATCAAGATGTTTTCTGGCTTCATTTCTTCCAGCAAATAACATCTTTCTAGCCTATCTGTTCAAGGAAAGAGGATGTTCGATACAAATAATGAGTAATAAATTTTTCAAGTCATATCATAAGGCTAGGATTCATTCAAAATTTGAATAAATGGCAGTGGGATACCTAGGTTTAGATTGATAGAAGGGTTATAATTTTTAGAGTCCCTATTTTAGAAGCTTTATCCTGCCAGGCTTGTACCTTGAACCAAATTTTTTAAAATAGCATGTTAGATTTGAAGTATGGTGAATTACAAAACCCTCCAAGATTTGGTACATACTACATTTTACTTCAGTTTTTAAAATAATATGCATTTACCCAATCATAAAGTTATACTGCTATTTCACTGTTTGGAAATGAGGAGTAAGAACTTGTAAATTTGATCAAGTTTTACCACATCAAAGAAAAAAGTTGAAACTCAAATTACATGTTAAAAGATGGGATGATAGAGCCAACTCCCCATTCCATCTTATTTATGATCCTAACACCATCTGTAAGCTTAACTAAATTTCCTCTTAGTAATTAGTATTTCTCACCCTGTTGCTGTTGTTGCTAACAAATCAGTCAAGAGCCAAATATCTAGATAAATAATTAAGGATGGTACTTAAAAGTACCAAAATTAACCATCGCCTTCCTTTTTTAAACTTTTTCTTTGATATGGTCAATATTTGTCCAGAGTATTGTTTGATAGAATGTAAACTTAGACATCCAGAAACTGAATGTACAGTAAAGCAGCTTTATAGTTTGATATAAAAGTTAATTTAAGTATTTTGTTAAGGAATATATCCCATATTGGCAAGGTTTGAGTCTTTGAGGTTTCCTTATTCCTCTAGTCTTGTATCCAGATTTGGTCTCTCAACTTGTTATCAACTAGTTCTAGGTTAAAGGTTTTAACTTATTATCTGAGATTAAGTATGTCTGTTGTCTCATTTGTCGTTTCACCCTTTTCATTGCCTGAATGTCCTGCCTTCTTCAGTTGTTTAATGGATGTACAATTAAGGGGGTACTTAGTGGTACTGAGTTGGACCTCTCCGCATTTCCTGTTATTTAGAGTGTCTCATGAAGTTATTTATCATTTTACAGGGTTTAACCTGCAATCATTAAAATGTTTATTCACTTCTTCTATCTATGTCAGAGCTCCATTAGCATCTACTCCTGTATGGGTACAGAATTTCAATTCCTCTGAGGAATTAATCACTGAATTTTGTAGAGAGTGCAGAATTGTCCGTAAAGGTAGTATCACATTTTTCCATTTAGTTATTATCATGACTGCCCTTTTTCCTATTTTGAAATATATTAAAATTAGCAGGAAGTGATTTAGAAATGTTTAATATCTATGATATCATTTTATGGGTTTTCCATCTTTTTCACAATAGAAAATTAAAAGTTGCCAGTCTATCCTGCAAACATACTTGTCTTCATCCAAGTTTAATTTGCTTCCTAGGTTTGGCTGGTGATCTAAAGAAAGCAATGAAAGATGGAAAGCCAATCATAATTGAGGTATACTTTGGTTCTTGATTTTGAATTGCCAGTTCTGTTTTTCTTTCCCCTATGATGTCATTTCCACCTTTTCTTTTAAAAACAAGTTAACAGCATATTTTGTCCGTTGCCCATGTTTTCTATTATCTTTGATTGTTTAAGGAGAGTGATTCTTTCTGTTTGGCTAGAGGGCAGGTAGTGGGTAGGTGTGACCAAAGAGAGTAATGTCTATCCATAATATTTAATTTTCTTTATTTATAGTTATCTCAAAATATTATTCATTTCTATATTTTTTGATTGAGTATATCATTGACAGGAAGTAGAGACTTGTTTCATAAAATGGTAAACTACAATAAAAATGTAAGCTGCATATGAATGCATGCCTCTCACGAATGCAAATTCTGTATGGTTACTTATGTTATGTTTTCTGTTTAGGCTTTATGTTTGAAAACTAAATTTCCTTGATCTCTTGTTTCACAAGAACCTTTGTTTCATTTAAAGATGATTTCAATTAATCAGCTTATGTATTTTCAATCTCTTTTTTGTTGTAACTGTATGAGACTTATAAGCTATGCCCATTGGAAATTTCATGTGCACTTAATCTGTATCTCTTAGGAGTTTGCCAACTTACTTTGATTCTCATGATGATGACAGGGAATCCATTTGGATCCAAGCATTTATTTAATGGATGATGAAAATAAAGAACCAGCTAATGTGCCAGAAAGGAGTAAAGAAGTAAACACTGTAAATGTGACATCAGATGAAAATTCTGTAACCCAAGTTGAAAATAATTCTGCAAAAGCTTGTGGAGATCATACTGGAAACAGCAAAAGCAATCATATCCCAGATGAAGGGATATGTGCTGACCAGGTGGATAATGTTGCACAGTCACTGGAATCTCTTGACTTGACAAGCATTTCTGACAACAAAGGTAAACTGCAATTATGAATCTTATATTTTTAATATTCTTTCATAGCTCATTCTACAGTATGCTTTTGTGTGCATGTATCAAATTGGAAAGATAAATGAAGAAATAATGTGACAGTTTGTTAACTGGTTTCTGCTCCTACAGGTGAAACCATTAAGGAAACAGAAGTGGATATAAAGGCTCCTGTCAAAAAGGAAAAATCGGGTACTCAACCAATAATCATACCAATAGTGCTAAAGATGGCTGAATTTGACCATAAGGTTTGCTTCTTCTCTTTCCACTCTTACAGTTTGTTGTGATCTTTTATTTCTTCTCCTCAGTTTTGATTGCATGTTTAATAAAAATATATCCTTGTAAGCACATATTAGCGAATTATATGAAAAGCTGTGCTAGCTGCTAGTTGCTTTTTAGCTAGAATTGACATGTTATGCTTCAAGAAACTATAATATATCCACAATACATAACCTCAACATTTCAAATGTAATTAAGTTTGGTTTTAGCTGCAGTAAACCTTTCATATTGTCATTTTTTTGATTTCCTACCATGACCATGTTTCTCTTCTGATTGAAAACCATTGTATCCTGATTATTGTAGCCAAGGTATTGTCAACAAGTCTCTTTTTTGTCAAACAATGTAATATAGGTTTTTGACCTTCTATTCTTGCACATATCAATTGTTATTGAGTGTTATGATATTCATGGTGCAGTTACATGGAGACAGATTTCTTTTGTTTGCATTACACTGACTTGTTTCACTCATACGGCTCTGCTTTCAATCTTACAATATTTTCACAATATTTCCTTCTCATGCAGGCATTACTTGAGGAGTGGATCTCTACTCGGAAAATCAGTGATAAACGTCTAATTCAGGTTTTAATGACAATTTTTCAGTTTCTAATTTTCTTATCTTAGATGTCTAATCTAGGTTTTGGTGTACTAATTTTGGATTACTTAGCATAGTTGAGTATAGAAAATGCAGCACTTTTCCTTTTGTTATCTTTAAGGTTATTGGATTTGTTAAATACTTGAATTTTTAATGATGAATTTTGGTGGGGACTTGGCCTGTTCTGTTTGTTTTCTAGAGAGTGAATCTTGGAAGAGAACTGCAAAACAATCAAAGTGTTCCTCTTGCTTAACCAAACTCTTATTTTCTCATTTTTTTTATAGGATAAAGATAGTTTAATAGCCAATTTGAAGACCATTCAGGACTATCTTTGTTCCTTCAAGTCCCAGGTATGAAAGATTGGTTGTCAATTGTCTTGTTAGTTGTATTTTCCTTTTCTGGTATTATATTCATCTTTCTCTCACCTTGTTGTAGGGTTTATCAGTTGTCAACATATCAGCCACAACATTTCCTCAGACATTGGATTGGCTGCATGGGTATCTTCTTCAGGTATTCCGCTATTTTGTTTGGTATTAGCTTTCTTACTCAATTCTGATGTCATTTAGAAACAAACAATTGTTTTCATTCTTGTTTTATGATATCTCAATATGCTCTTGTTTAATATTGGGGTACTTAACTGGCTTATACTATTCTTTGTTCTTTTCAATATTAAGCGCATTGAGCAAGGCATTTCATCAGTGTCCAGCCCGTCAGCCCCAAAATAGATTACATTCATTTGTTAACTTAAGCAACTTCAGGTGTGAACGTAAACCTTAAATTATTTTGGATTTTGCATGACATAAAATAGAAGGTAACTTTGAAATTTACAGTGGTTATTTATTGTTTATCCTAATGAATTATTTATGATGGGCTCTGCAGAGCTGGGGAAATAAATGAAACGTTCTGGTTGATAGCAGCTCCACAGATAAGGATAAAGATGCTCGATGTTGGATAATCAAATTTCAAAAATCAAATCAAAACAAGCTTCTTCTGAAGACTTTGCCTGAACTTCCTCGAAAATGTGAGTTCTAACCAATACCTGCATTCTACATATTTCTTTTATGTTATCTGTTGGACTGATTCATGCACTTGGAGAAGTTGCAAGGTTTTGAAGAATTTAGAGATAGATTATTATCATCTCTACGAGAGTATTAGCATAGAATTCACAATCATCAATAGATAGTGGGGTGGAGGTTGATACTCTAGATTTACTTTATCATGTGCTTGACTTTTTCTTTTCTTTTCTTTTGAAATTAAAAATAAGGTGAGAACATTCCATATTGTTGTTAAACATGGTTACACTTATATGGTCACCATGGTTCTAAAGATGTATGTTCCAGTACAAATTTAACTTAGGCATTATATATTTCAAGGTAAGAAATAGAAAACGATGAAGTAGAGAGAATTAAAAAGAAAATATCTTATATCAAATTTCATCATCCCATAGATCTTCTATGGTCTTGTATGGGCTTGTTGTGTTATTAACAAGAAACTCTCCTCTCATTATCTTCCTCTCCTCCAACTTGTCAATCTTAAGCAGATCTTGTTCATCCAATTTGAGGTTGATGGATGCAATGTTTTCCTTCAATCTCTCTTGCTTGAAACTCTTTACGATCACGCTTGCTCCGTTCGATAATCCCCATTTTAGGGCAACCTTAATAGAATTTCATCAAACCATATTAGCTAGGAGTTGATTTCATTCACTATTTACTACTCAACCCAAATGCTGGATTTTATGGTTTACCTGAGCTGGAGTAGCTTTATGTTTGATGGCAATGGACTGGATAACTGGATTTTCAACAACAGCTGTGGTTCCCCATGAATTCCCAGGGCCACCCAGTGGAGAATAAGCACTTAAATGAATCTTGTGGCCAGCACAGACTTGTCTAAGCTTTCTTTGCCTCCACATTGGATGCATTTCTACCTGTATACATAATAATGCATACCTCATTTGATTAGGGACATTGTTTTAGTAAAATGGGGTTTAGTTCCTTCAAAAGATGTGCTATTTGCACATTCCTTTGGGAATAAGAATGTGAATATTAAAGTGGTAATTCAGTTTTAAGTACCTGATTAACAGCAGGAGGAACAGAGGCAAAATTTAGTAAGTCTTCTGTCTTCTTGCTAGAGAAATTGCTTAGCCCAATGCTCCTACAGAGGCCCATATCCAGGCATTTCTCCATTCCGGCCCACGTAGCCTCAAGGTCCAACAGCTCAAAGTCTTCTTCATTGGGCACTGGATAACAAACCCCAGGCTTCAGCTTCAATGGCCAGTGAACCAAATACATGTCTAGATACTCCATGCCCATGTTCCTACACCATTCATTCCATTCAAAAAAAGGATTAGCAGTCCCATACATACAGACATGTACATACGTACAGGTATACAGACATACAAACATTAATTTATTATATTTATCATTTTTGCTTAACCTGAATGTCAGGGACACTTCTTACACTTACAGGATTACTTGCTTATAAATATGGCTGAGATGGGAGACTTAAAAAGAGAAGAAAAAGGAAAAAAAGAAGGAATATAAGCAAACATCCATGACTTTTTTTTTAAAAAAAATGTTTTGGTTGAAGCATCTATTGGGTTAAAAACTATTTACCTTCGGAAGATGATGGGAAAACCAATTTTTTTTTAAATGGTATTATGATTTATTTAATGCTATGTGCGTATGTAGAGCTTACTCTAGAGTGTGTTTGAGTGCTGAAACAGGATCATGGTGATCGCTGCTCCATAGTTTAGATGTCACAAAAACGTCTTCTCTTTCGACAATTCCTTCCTCAATTGCCTGTCTTAAAGCATTTCCAACAGCTGGTTCTGAACCATATATCTTGGCCGTGTCAAAATGCCTATAACCCATCTGGCACATATACACCACCAATAACATCAACATATATATGATCTTCAGTACATATCTCATGCACAATGGAAAAACTATATATAGTGGTGGAGATGATAATTTTTTATGAATTATTTAGTTTCGATATGAATTATTTGCCTTTGATTGGATTAGAAGGATGAATTTAGTTTGATACATGCAAATTGTTAAGTAAGATACTCAGAAAAATTTACCTGGAGAGCCATATGGATGGCTTGCTCAGTGGTTTCCTTATGGTTTTGGAAGGAATAAGTACCCATTCCAATAAGGGGAATGGTTATCCCACAATTCAAACGTGCTTGATCACTCCTCATTCTTGATCTCTCTTCTCCAAAACAATTGAAGCTTAATGTGGCTGGCTCCCCCTCATCCTCTATCACCTTTTTATAACACTCAAAAAGTCAACCTTTATCTAATTGTTACATAAGACATTTGCCACATGGGGAGTGTTAATGTAAGGGTGAATTCATGTTGGGGAGTTCATTAAAGATTAAAAAATTGAGGTTTACATATCAAGGGATGTGGATCTTCCATGTCTCTTGGGATTTTCTTAGCTGCCACAATCCATCATCTGAGGATATATATCACTTTAATGAGGTATATATGGTATATATTAAGGGGGAGAAGGTGAAAGCAAAATCAATATTTATAACTCCCTCTACTTAAAAATATACGTTGACTTTTTTTACACATAGAAAAAAAAAATTTTCAATTATCATTTATATATTATAAAAAGTATTACTCCCTCTATTCCAAACTAAGTATTATTTTTTGACTTTTTATTTATATTACCCTTAAAAAAGGTTAAAAAATAAACTGAGATTTATTTTAATAAGATAATTAATCAAAATAATTAATAATGATAGAGTTAAAATAAGAAATATTTATCTACTCCAAAAAAAATGAGATACAATAATTAATTTAAAATAAACTCAAAATAAAAACTAATATTTTTTGAGATTAAAAAAAAAACTTAAAATTAGATGTAAAAAAATTAAATAACTTATATTTCGAGACAAAGTGGGTATTATATGGTGACCAAAGAAATGACACTCGAAGCATTTTAATTGGAGATGATTAAGTAAGAGAAAACGAAGCCCAAAGCCAAGGGCAAGAGGTCAAACCCTAAATTTTCTAACATTGTTTCTAATTTATTTCCTGAAATGTCAAGACAGTTGTTATGCTGTCAATTCAAGTAACTGCCCGAGAATTAGTTAATAATTGAGACTGCAAACTCACTGGACTGGATGATCCATGCTTTCTGCTTCCTCACTAAAGAAAAAAAGAAAAGAGTGATCAATTGGGAAATTAAGGTTATATTTTAGACCTACATTATGTGCAAAGCAGGTTTTTCAGCACGGTGTACTACTTAATGCATACATATTGTGGAGATTTGCTCTCTTCTAAGGTATAATCTCAATTGATAATAACTAAAAGTGATGTAGAAAAATATAAATAATTAAAAACAAATGGAAGAGGATTTGGGAAAGAAGGGATTACTTTGTATATGTTATATAATTCATAATTTATTGTTTTAGATTTTTTACATTTAAATTTAGAATAAAAATTCATTTACACACAAGTCTTATACATTATATTTATAAAAAATCTCAATTATTCATTTTTTTACTTTTTAATAGTTAAAATTTATTTATATTTATTAAATATAATTATTTTTTTAACTTAAAAAATCATAACAAATCTCAATTTTTAAAAATAGAAAGATAAATTGTTAAGATTTTATATAAATGTGATATATAAAACTTGTATCTAAATAAATTTCTCCTTTTGAATTCATGATCTTTACTCCAAAATAAAGTTGCAGAACAAAATGGAAAGAGAAAAAATGGGTATTGCCGGTTTTTTTTTTTTTTTTTTTTTCAAATGGTTGTTGACTGTTAGCATATTTTCAAGAATGATAATGGGCTTTGACTTGCTAATTTGTCAAAAGAACATTGATTTTTCATTTTTCGTTTAAAAAATGATTAACAAGTCAACGGAATTTGGTATATACATTAGGTTTGCTTAATTAATTTGTGCACCATTTGATTTTTGCCTTGATTTTGTGTCTCTTCGATAAGTCAAAAGGGCAATTATAAGTCCTGCTCAGCAAAGCATCTTCTATTTGGACCGTTCAAGAATTAACAATACTCACAATCAGCACTTTTTCATGTGGCCCAAGTAATAACGTTTTTTTCATGTGAGAAATAAAGTTGAACACCATACATAATCATCAAATCAATTCCTTAATCGATACTCGAATAGATATTAACTTATTAGTCATATTTCTTACCGTAAAAAATAAAAATAAAACTCACAATCATAAGCATTTCATCTGACCCATATACATCATCTTCCTCTCCAACTCCCAGCTACTTGTTGCCTCATTGCTCATGTGCCTCAGTGCAACATTTAACATAGCTTATTTTTGTTTGAAATATGATATCTTACTAAGAGTTTTTTATGGTGCATTTATTGCACCTCTCTTGTATTAATTAATATAAAAAAATAAAAATTGATATTAATTTTAATAATTGTCAAATTGAATTTATCTAAGTGTCAATGATATTAAAATTAATGTCAATTTTTATATTTTTTATATAAATTAATATAAAAAATATAATAAATATATCTTTTACTTAAAAAAAAAAAAAAACAATTTCAACGTGTGCTTTAGACATAAATTAAAAAAACTCCTTTATTAATATGATGACAATGATGATGTACATTATCATCTCATATTTCATGTTAATTAAGATGGGAACAATTCGTTCTTTAATGGTACATTTAAGTATCGTGTCCAAAGATTCCATTCTAGCAACATATATATGTCACTTTTGTTAGGGTGAAAATATGGTTTATGTTATTGTCATATTTTTAATTATTAATATCACACTTTTTTT